ATGCTGGTCCCTCCCTCGTGGCCAAGCATCCACGTGCTTTCATTAGTTAGGTGACCTAGAATCGACATGATTCTTCTGGATAGTTAACACAGTCACAGTGTTCTAAATGTGGCAGGCAAATATTAAAACAACTAAATATTGAGTCATATGCTCCTGGAGGTCTTAGCTGAGTTGTCTCCTGGTTGTTTATCCTTCATATTTATGTGACATTATAAGGCTTTGATATGTTGAAGTGAACATTGGAATAATCCAGAATTATACAGTTAATTACATGTACATCTAATTACAATTGTTAAGCAGTCTACAACTCCAAGAGGAAACAAGGAGTTTGAATTGTGTCAGAAACAGTACACACCTGAGCAGATGCTTCATGTCAGCCAGCGGGTGTTCTCCATATGCATAATGTCACTTGCTGACACTTAAGTTCCTCATGTTTTACTCAAAGTCAGGGAGACAGAATTGTGCACAGGGCTATCTATTTAGTTCAAAACATTGATATTTTCCTACAATAGATAGCCTTATTTTAGAAGGGAGGAAACCAACTAAGATCAAGTAGCTTGACTAAGAAACCAGAATGTCTCCTTAATACACTGCCTCCCCAAATACAACCACCACCCCAGGGAAGTGGGAACTACAGGGTGGCTTATGACCATGGATATTGTGACCATGTGTCTATACTGAGTCTGTCTTCTCTCTGTCTCTCCAGTGTATGCACATAAGCAGGAACCCCCTCAGTATTCCCACACCTCCCGGTTCCCGTCTGCGATGGTGGTCACAGATACCAGTAGCATCAACACCCTCACCAGCATGTCTTCCAGTAAACAGGTAATGCCAGCAGGATGGGGCCAGGGCGTGTGCAGGTGTGTGTGCATGTATGTGCTCACAACTCAGACTCTCAAGGTACCAATGAGTGAGTACAAACTCAGCCATGATTTTATTCTCATGGGGTTCTTCTTCCAGTTAGCTGCTAAAATGAACCCCTGAGGTCAGAGGGTAAGACAGATGGGCTACAGACCAAAAGAGCTTATTGCTCCCCAGCAAGAGTGTTATTAAATGAAGACTGAGATTGGATGGGTCACTGGAGTCTGGATGACATAATGCTGTGAGACACTGGAACTGAGCATTCCTTACTGGGATGATTGATGATCCATGCAAAGGGTTTTTCCAGGATAGGATGGGAAGGCCAGGATGTCTGGTAAGCTGCCAGCTTTGCAAAAGCGGTCAGTGGGGAAAAAGAAAGGAGAATCAGGGGTTCTGGGACTGATACCACCCTCAGGCACTAGTCACCCAAGGAATAACCTAATCATTAACCCTTTGAGGACTCCCCAGTAGACAGTGTGACCGTTTCTGAGGCCTATTCCTGTTTGATGACTTATCAAGTAACTTAAATTCAACTTCCTGGCACCGAGACCATGGAGGACTCCACAGCAGCTTAGTCAGTGCCTCAGTGGATGAGTAAGTCCCACCTCCCAAAGAGGTGCTGGAGTAATAAAGACCGCTACCCAACAGGGAGAGCCGCAGCTCAGAGAGGTGGACTGCCACAGCACACGGAGAACTAGAAAACAGGACAAGATGTCTGAACATGGTTGTGGATTCCAGAGAAACACAATAGAACCTTTCAGCAGCTGGGGTCGATGTACTGTGGGAACTGTTTGGCCTCTATCGATTGCTAGATAAGGAGGCGACAACCTTGAACTTTGTGTCAGAAGCACTCATCAAGGTTTGATCATGTTGATTGTGCGCCCCCCCTCCAGGAACCCCCATAAGTCACACTTCACCCGTTGTCACTAGCTTCTGATCAGACTCATGGGCTCAGGAGTCTCAATTCTCTGCTTGACCCATCTTCTTTGGCCCCTAGACTGAAGTAGGGCAGGTTCTGCCATTAACTTTGAACCTTTGTTTCATCTTGAAAAGGACAGTTGTAACGTCTACTTGTTTCAAGGATTTGGAGCAGTTGTGTATGTTAAGTGTCTGGTATATCTCAAGTGCTAAATACCTAGCTTGGGTCGCTGGGCTCAGAAATTTTGGAGGTAGAAGGAGAGGTGGTGGGACCTGCTCTGGCAGTCTTCTCTCACCCAATAGGAGATTAAAAGACAACCCTCCATCCCTCTGCCCTTCGACTCCTAACTCCCGTGCCATTTCCCACTCTTTGTAGCCATCAGGGAAAACATTTATCTGTGCTCACTAATTTCAATCAGGGGGTTAGCCAGGCGCAGCAGCCCTCCTTGGGAATACCTTCCTCTTTTAAAGTTTTATCAATCCATCTGCTGCTTGGGCGGCCCTAGACAGGGCAGTGATTAATTATCGATGTCTTTCCCACATTGACTTTGATGCCTGCTTGTTGAAATGAGTCCTCCGAGTTCAGGAAATGGTCCCTTAACCTGCTTCAAGAAGCTCCCAGGGATGCTGCCGTCAACCCCCACGTGGCTTCTGCCCTCCGCTGGGCAGAGTGCCTAGCCAACCTTGAAGTTGAATGAACAGCTACCGTGACATATTATGAAGGTGTCTCTGTATTCCAGGACATCTCACGAATGACCAGACCCTCATTTCTGCAACACTGAAGATGATGATTATACTAATAAATTAAAAAAAAAAAAGACTCAGGTGGGCACGATGCTACACGCTTGTGATAGCAGGCCACAGAAGGCTGAGGCAGGAGGAGCACTGTCTCACAAGACAAATGGAATGCGTTATAGTTTTTGCTTTGTTGTTTTCATTCCATTGCAATCTTCTAAGACATGAACTGAGACCCAGAACAGAAAGTAACCTTCCCAAGGTCATACAGACGAACTTGGCCTCCAGACTTTGGTCTTTGACTTTCAATCCTGAACTCTTTCCATTTAAACACCTTCCCCCTCTCTTGCAAGTGCCCATGGTAATCATAAATGCTCTTGTTGGAAGTATTTAGGAACCAGAGTGAACATTAAACATGTGTGCTAAGTTTCAAACAGAAAAATTCCTTCTTACAAACCAAAGCAGAAGGAAGACCAGGAACGGGTGGGCTAAAGTGAAAATGATCTACGAACTCTTTGTTCCCGGGGCACCAGGAACATGAGTAGTTTTGTTCTTTCTTCATTTTAAAGCATTGTTTTCCATGATGTATGTCAAAACCGTCACTAGGTGTCAGGACCCAGTGAGATATGTGGGAGAGAATGGGTCCTTGGTTGAGTATGTTAGGGAAACTTCTTTGTTAAACAGAGCCTTCTAGAAAGGGCTTCTCACAACAGTCCATGTGCTGACGATGGTTATGGAACCAGCAGCTAGTGTGTGCCATGCTTGGGTCACAGGGACATACCCTAGTCAGTGCTATTCTGTTGGCTTTGAGTAGAGGTAGAAAGAGCCAGGACACCTGAGTGAATTCTGACTCCACCAGCTCCTGCTGTACAACCTTGGGCAGTTTCTCACCACTGAGATTGTGATTGTTGCTTTCTTTATAAATGGGGGAAGCCCTTCCCTGGCTCACCAGGACCTAACAGGTGTCAGCAATAGTCAGATGCAGGGAGAAGGTCCCTTTACATTCTTTCTTCTGTCTGTGCTCCTTTATGAGGCCATTTTCTCTCCCCCTGCCTTCTTCACTATCCACCTCAGTGCTTGGTCTACGTGTGGTCATAGGAGGCCCTGGCAACAAAATGTCCCAAGATTAAGGCCATTGTTGCTAAAGGCCCGTCATCTTGTGTGCATGCTCTAGATCACTGTTTCCCTTGCTGCTACCAGACAGGTACTCACCTTCCCACCTTCCTCCAAAAAAGCAAGTGGATCAGGAACCACTCACAGTACCAAAACCACTTGGGCCATCATGAATGTCCAGTGAGTAGGAGGGTGGGTTGGTGGGTGGATGGATGGATGGAGAAATGGATAAATGGATTCAGAACTGTTATTTTTTTAGTACCTCCAATGTTCCAACAAGCATTCAAGCTACTATTTTTATCATATATTATGGTAACTCTCTTCCTCCTTCTGCTAAGTAGATAGTTTTATGCAGAAAACTAAGGCTCTAAGATGAAGAGTGAGATGAGTAATTTCACACAAAGATAAACCCCACAGCCAGACTTCTATCAGACTGTAATCTTCTTGCTCCAGATCCATTAACAGCCTTCACGTCCCAATATCTTATTCTTTCTTTTTAATTTTATTGTAGTTTATTTTCTGAGATGATGGCTTGGGGTCCTTTGGGTAGCCTCTGAACCAATAGCTGTGTTCCTGAAAGGTGGGAGAGAATGTGTTTATGTGCACAAAGGAACTGATCCAAAACTTAGATCCAAGAGGAACGATCCCTGGCTGGCTTGGAATTCACTGTACAAACAAGGCTGGCATCAATTTTGCATCGATTTTCCTATCTCTACCTCCCATGTTCTGGGATTTACAGGGATGTGTCACCATACTTGGCTCCTGATAGCAATGCATGCTTAAGAACCATAATGATGAAAAAAAAAAGAACCATAATGATAATGCAGGGTTGTGCAGGTATACAGCTAAATCTAGACTGTGATTGTAGCTGTCTGATCCCAGTACTTACTGTTGCTACTACAGACCTGCCATGGGGGTCTTACAGAATCAAGTTTCAGGATTCCTAGGCTGCAAGAGTCCTCTGTATCTTCTTCATCCTGTCCTTTCTGGAGAATTGGCCTTTTCTTCTTCAACACTTGGGTGTCATGAGTTACGTTCTGAGAGGGTTTGTGTCTGAGCTACTGTGTAGTTACACCCCACAGATCTGGGAATTAGACTGTAAATTAGACTGGGAATTTTACTGAATGACTTCAGTAAAATCCAGAGTGGGCAGGCTGTGAGCTGACTCCTGTTCCCATAATACACTTTACCCACTGTTTCACTTCCTAGTTTATAGAGAGGTCAAGAGAAGCCCCCGGAAGTACTAACAAGAGAAGGTAAGCTGCTTCATCATGAGTCCCCTGCAGCTGCCCCTCCTTGTCAAACTTTCTTCATTGTTGGTGTTAGGGAAGCAAGGTCTGATGGTTAAATTCCCTGGGACTAGAATTATGGATGGTTGTGAGTGCTAGATAAATGTCGGGAACTGAACTCCAGTCCTTGGCAAGAGCATCAAGTGCTCCTAACCTCTGAGCTATCTCTCCAGCCCCAAGGCAATGATCGTACATCATGGCTAAATATGCAACCTTTGCCATAGGTCCCTATGGGTTTTACTTATAGTCTGTATAGATTGTAGTTCCTGCATCTCTCTTTCCTTACTCCCAGTTGTTTCAAGACCAGTGCAGGCTAGCTTCTAGCCTCACACTCCACTGTGTCCTCATCACCCCACCTCCATGCTGCAGATTCAGTGGCTGTTTTCTGATTCCATGCTGAAACCCATCCCTCCTTCCCTTGCCCCCTTGGATTTTAAGGTACCACTTCATTCTGTAGTATTCAATACTCCTCTTACCCTTAGCTGGCAACTCATCACCTCAACATTGGAGTGCTGAGGGGTCCAAGGATCACTCCTTGGCTTCTTCTCTTGGGTCACACACCAATTCCATGACTTTGGGTCAAGTGCACAGACTGATGACATGTGTGATCTGCCCCCAAGGTGGTCATGCCCACAAAGGGTACAATGACAGCGTTATCATTAGTGAGACCTATGCATGCCCAATGCATACAGCATGCCTCTCATACTGAGCCCACCTAAAACAGAAACTCTTCATTTGCCCGGGTTTCTCCTTACCCAGGTCACTTCCTTGTTTTGTAATTCCACTTCTAAAACCCCCGCCCTCCTTCTTCACAAGAGACCTTAGTTCTTTTCTCCATTTCCCTACATCCTGTCCATCAGTTAAGTTCTGCTAAGAGACCTTTAAAATTCATCCTAAATCTGACATCCTTGACCACGCCCCTGGGCACCATCATAGCCCAAGCTCAGGCTTCTCTTGTCTCTACTTGATCTCTTTCAGTGGCCCTTGACTCCTCCTTCTGCTCTTACATGCAACATTGTGGTCTGGTTTTGGCAGCAAGGGAGACCTCAAGAGAGAAACCAAGCATGTCCTTCTCCTGTCAAAATTCCCCAATAGTTTCTATAGCTACCACACGACGAGGGAGACTTACAAGGCTCTGGGTGATCAGGCTGCTATCTCCATACTTCTCTCTGCCCCTCCTTTGCTCACTGGGCTCAAAGCAGAACCAGGGACTCACAACAGCCAGCAAGTGACTATGCATTTGGCCTCTTCTGTCTGGAACACAATTCGTGGCGTTTTCCATGCTTGTTCCTTCATTTCGTTCAATTCAGATGTCACTACCTCCCTAAATGATCCCCCTTTCCCTCAAGTCAGCCTGACTTATCATGCTTGCTTTCCAAGAGTATTTACTTCTGCCTAAAAGCTGTTTATATATGATACATGCACGTGCTGTTTAGTGGTGAATTGTTCAAACTCTCTAGAATGTTTGCTGTGTAAAATTATAAGCTGGTCGTATTCACAATTGCATGCCCTGGACACCTTGCAAGCACCCAGTTATGGGTTAAATTGATAATAGCCACTTAATTCAAAGAGTAGATGGAGGCCAGCAAGATGGCTCAGTGGGGAAAGATCAGTGACCTGAGCTGGATCTCCAGCACCCACATGATGGAAAGAGAGAACTGACTTCTGCAAGGTGTCCTTTGACCTCCACACACAAGCTGGGGCATGTGAATGCCTGCACACTCATAGTAAATAATTGTAAAAAGAAATAACGATAAATGGGAGGTTGTGTGTGCAAAGCCCTGAAAATGGTGGAACTTCAGTGCCACCATTATGTAACACATCCTCTGGGGATGAGGGTCACAGTTACCACACCTTACAGAGGTGACCCTCTGGGCTGGACCCCCATGAAGCTGGGAGTACTGGGACCCCAGTGTATACCTTATCAGATGTTTATGTTTAGACTCTGAAAGGAGCAAATAATTCCAGGTCCCTTGACAACATTTAGGGCTCTGCCACCATTTTATTATGTGAGCAAACATCTGATAGCTGAGAAGCCCATCCCTAATGACAGGTCATAGAATCTCTCTGGCGTCTCCTTATCGGCCCTTCTTGTTTGCTCTCCTATTGAAAGCTGAGAGGTCACAAGCCATTTTCTCTCTCTTCCACCTGAAATCTGAAAATTGGAAGGAAAAAAGGGGAGGAGGGGCTGACAGTGGGGAGTAAAGAGACTGGAGAGTGGGGGTGGGCAGAGGCAGGAAGAGGAGGCAAAGGGTATCTGAGGGCCCTGACCAACACCTCAAGAATGTAGGAGGACCAGAAACCCAGCTCCTCACACAAATGCATAGCTCCAGGGCAGTCTTAGGAGTCTTCAACAGCATGGAGAGCAGAGGAAGGGGCCCCATGCTGGAGATTATTAAGAATTACCACATGAACACCTTTGAAGCAAGGTCACCTGTACTAATAGGACCAAGCCCACTGCAGCCTCCCTTTCTATAGAGGAAGAAACTGAAGCACAAAGAATAATTTGACTGAGAACAAAGCTAAGTAGAAGGAATGTTCTTGGTCCATGACACAGGCTGGAGGTCACCCAAAGCCAACCAGAGCCTCTGACTTCACCGTTGTCCTGGTTCTGAACCACTGGCTCATCTCGCTTACTCTCAATCCTGCTTTCTTTCTAATCTGTCAAATGGACATGTGATGATCTCATGGAATTGTGGTTGAGAGCCCTGATTAGTAAGAAAATAATGGAAGAATAGGCCTGTGTTTGTATAAGTACATGTGTGCGCATGTGAATACACATGTGGACATGTGTGTTTGAGGGGAGAGCTTTGAAAGAACAAGCCACTAGGCTGAAAGGAAAACCTTCAGCGCTGACAAAAGAAAAAGGGTGAAGAGAAAGACATGGGTGGGGGGGGCAGGGAGTGACTCGAGATTAAAAGGAGGGTCAAGATTTTCTGAAACAGTCTCTTAAAGCCTGGAGCTCTGGGAGGGGGAGGGAGGCTGTCCTACATGTGTCCTGCAGCTCCTCCCAGAGGGTGGCTCCGGATACTCTAAGGTTTCCTTCCCTGGCCCACCAAGGTGTATGGCATCAGACACCTTAAACCTTCGACCTATTATTTTCTTGGTATCTTTGTCCAATGATAACAACCCTTGAGAAAGTTCCTTATGGTTTCCAAAGCCCTCTCCCTGGTGGAAACTTAGAGTAAAGGGACATTCCCTCACTCACACTATGGCCTTGCTGCTCTTGGTAGATCAGCAGTGTGAGCAGAGCCTGAGGAGTTCTTAGGGCTGCACAGTCCTGGGGCAGGTGAGGTGGCTAGGCAGATGTAGGAGCTTGTGGCCAAGCTCGATAACAGGAATTTGATAGTGGAACTCACATAGGGAGAGGAGAGAACTGACTCCTACAAGCTACCGTCTGACCTCCGCTGTGCGCATGCACGTGGGCACACACACACACACACACACACACACACACGCGTAAATAATTTTTAAACTACAAATACAAACTCCTAGGCCTGACCCAGGCCTGAGAACCAGAGATGGATCTATGTTTTAGCAGAATCTCTGTTCCTGGCCATTCCATCCAAGTTTGGGAAGTAGTGGCCTAGGGCCTTTAGAGGTCTTAGAAGGAGACCTACTTCCACAAGATGCCTAGAGCTCCCACCCTGCTGGTTTGTGATCACCCTGAGCACTGTATAAATGCCATTCTCACAAATCCCCACTTCAGCGTTAAACTCAGTACATCAGGACTATTTCAGGCTCCTCGGCAACACACTTTCTTCCTGGGAAGTACCCAGGAAAGCTTTCCTGAAAGGAAAGCTCCAGCATCCACCCCAGCCCAGCCCTCCACCTCCAGAACTTTGCTGTCCAAGTTGAGTGTCAGCTCCCTTGGAGAAGCTAAACTAATGTGCACAGCTAAATTCTTTCTCCCCTCTCTCTTCCCCCACAGTGTCCACTGCAAGCCTGGTGATACCCACATAACCACTCTGTGCATAGCAACGAGGACCCCATTTTCCACACCATCAGTCTCTGGGCGTCCATCATAGAGAAGTCCAGCGACCTGACAGGCACCTGGGAACCCAGGAGAGAAAGAGGTCCCTGCTCACCTGACATCCTGCTGGGCACCACGGACAAGCCACTCTCAAGAGCTGTAGCCTGAAGCCCAGCTTCCCTTCTTTGCAGTATTGTCATGAAGCATCTCCTAGGATGCCAAGCGCTCTTGTTTCTCCCAGAGGTGGCCGGTGTAAAATGGTGCAACAGGAAGCGAGAAACCCATGGAGTCTCCCCTGCAACCCTTCATCGAACAAACTGATGCAAAAACTTGAATCTGTTACTGAAATAAGATGAGGACCGAGGAGGATGTGTGCTAATGAACTGAGCCAGACACTGTAAATACTGACAGACCCCCCCTCCCCCATCCCAGATGATCTCAAGATTTCTTCTAAAGAAGTAAATTTGTCCAATGGGTGTAAACTATAAACGACTGTAATTAAGTGCAATTTTCCTTCCACGTATCTACCCCTGCCCTGTATATAATACTAAAGTGTCTATCACTTTTCTTTGTAAAGGTCAGAGTTGAAATTCCAAGAGTGACTTGCTCCCTTCCCCTTCCCCACTGAAAACTACCCAGAGTGGGAAATGAATTTCTTCACCAGCACCCCTCTGGCCACAGGGATGGCATACTTTGGACAGACTGCCAGCTAACACCCCCCACCCCCATGTTAAGACACACCTCTGGATCCCTAGGGGTGAGACATAGTGGCAGCAAGATGCCCTAGCATCCTGTGGGCCTGGGCGGGGACACTGACTGGCTGACAGCCATCTCAGGAAGCCTCTCATTAAAGCAATTTATTTTGTCACTGCTTAGAGTCTCCTATATCTTCCCCTGCTGTGGCTTCACCAAACATCCCTTGGCCTGTTCTTGGTAAGATTTTCCAGTTTACCCCCTGGATACAATATTACCCTCTCTGGTGGCCTGCCTCATATCATCTTGGAACATTCACAGTAACTTTCTCATGCTTCAATGTGAGAAACAGTTGATTGCATCATTAGACACAAGGACAAGGTCAGGTCACCAATTCTGGGTCACTTATAGTCACAGAAAGGGAGAAAAATGCAGTGGGGGAACTTCTGAAATCTCATTTTAAGCATTGAGTCCAGGCTTTTTCCTACCTTCTTGCCTTCTCGTGGTACTATCTGGGTCTAGGGGAAAGGGCTCTTATGGTTGCTACCACCACTTTCTTGGTCCTCTCTCTATGTTGAGGATGCTAACAAATCCAGTGATGACTTGGGAAGAAGGACCTTGCCCTGGGCTCAGTGCTGCCTCCTCTTCCGTAAAAACTTTTCTATGCTCCAATAGAGTATTTCCAGAGGAAGTAAAGCCAAGAAAACTATGCAAACCTGTCCCTGGTTGGCAGGGTTTTCATATATCCCAATAGAGCAGAAGATGGCCATTATCAGAGAGCTGGAAAATTCGCTGAGGACCCTTTAATACAGTTCCTCGTGTTGTGGTGACCCCCAACCCTAGAATTATTTTTGTTGCTACCTCATAACTGTAATGCTGCTACTGTCATGAATTATAATGTAAGTATCTGTGTTTTCTGATGGTCTTAGGCATCCCCTGTGAAAGGGTTGTTTAACAGCCCACCCAAGGGTTCACACCCTACAGGTTGAAAGCTTCTGGTTTAAATTGTTTGGCATTGTTGCAATAGCCCTGAGAACCTAGAGGTCCTGTTGATCCAAGAGGTCATCTGAACACAGGCACAGGCAGAGGAGATGGAGGGAGAGTGGATTAGGCACAGTCTTAAGGAACTTTTCTTAACCAAACCCTATTTGACCCAAGATATATAAAACAGAGACCCAGGCAACTGACAAGTCTCTGGAACCCTGACAGGCCCTTCCTAACATCCCTTCACCACTGGAAAGAAGAAAAGTACCTACTGTGTGGGAGTCCAGATGTAAACTGCCCGGTCTGAAAGTTTGTTTGCAACTAAGAGCCCTCGTCCTTTCCACCCTTACACGTTGGCCTCTTCCAGGCTCCTTCCTTACCTACGGAGCACATAGTTTTCTCTCAGGACCCACTTGTGTTCTGGGGAGAGTTCTGGGTTAGGACTTTAACATCCACTAAATGGAATAAGATACTTAATGATTTGCCTCAGATTGTTCTAAACTGTTCTGAGCTCAGTGGTTGTGGAGTCTCCCCTCCAAAGGTACAGATAGATAGTTTGTCCTGTTTGCTGAGGAATTCAGGTGGATAAGAATACAATGCAGCTGAGAGTCTTGAGTTCTTCACTCACAGTTGGGGGCAGGCCTTTGGTAGGCTTCTTGGAGCCCAGATACCTTGATTAGGATCAGCACCCACTGTCGTATGTAAAAACTGCCATGCTAATAATCATGCCTGATTTTAATTAATGATTGTCTTTGAGGAATGACAAGGCTAATGTCAATGGCTGAGAGCTCAGAAACCTGTGCACTCTATTGGTGTGCAGTCTTGCATCATAGAGTCTCCTGGACCGGGCTGGTGTTCCCAGACGTCAATCAAGACTCTCCTTATCATCTGTGTGGTGCTAGGCGTTTGGTCAAATGCTTTTGTTTCTACGGTATAAGGCAAATGAAGTGGTAAACTGAGACTTGAGAAGAGCAAATCCAAGGAGAGAAGGCTTGATTGGGGGAGGTTTGGTCTTCTGCAGAAAAAAAAAAAAAATGGGACATGTGGAAGGCTATGGAGAGCCCCAGAGGCTGGAACTTGTCCTTATTCCTTAAGCATGGTGGGGGTAGGGAACAGGGGTCCCAGGAAGACTCCCAGAGCCAGGAAAGGCAAAGTCAGGAGGAGGCAGGAGCCAGCTGTGCTGGAAGTAAAGCTGGGCTGATAGTTCCCTTTGAACCAGGGATTAGATGCATCAAAAGCCACTGTGGAAAAGGAGCAATTGTCAGTAGCAGGCTGTGCAGGGAGCACCTCGGCTTCCTCCAACCCATCACACAGGCCGCGTGTTGATAACATAGCACTCAGCTGATCTAACTGCCTGTAAGTCTCCTCCCTCCCCCTCTCTGTCTCTACCTCTCTCTTCCCCTCCTCTGCCTCCTGGTTACAGGGGTCATGCCACTGTGCAAACACTGCATTGTCTGCTGAGGCTTCCAGCGTGACCACTTATTACTGAATCCTTGGCGTGTGCCGGACTTCACACACACCTGGATGGACTCTTTCCTGGGTGTAGAGACGAAACACTTTCTAAGGGAGAGTAAGTGGAGCGAACACAGAGGGCGCTACATCAAAGGCAGTGTCACCAAAGCCAATCTCCCGAGGCTTACACACACACACACACACACACACACATACACACGTATATATATATATATATATATACCAACATTCCAAAGAAGAACATTCAAGATGTTTCTTTTGTATCATATATATATATATATATATATATATATATATATATATATATTCCAAAAGGTTGTCTTACATCTGTAATAAAACAATAGAAGGTATTTCAAATTCATTTTGAAAAGGATATACAAAGGTTTTGGGGTTTGTTTGTTTGTTTACAGTTTTTGTTTGTTTTTGTTCTTTGAGGCAGGGTTTCTCTGTGTAGCCCTGGCTGTCCTGGAACTCACTCTGTAGACCAGGCAAAGTTTAATTTTTTAAAAGACCAAAAACAAATCAACATAAGGGAAGAGAATGTGATTCTTGAGCCAGCCCAGGGCTTTTCATGTATAGATTTGCTTTCGAAAACATATAGTCCAAAATAGTCTTCCTCTTTCATTTATTCAAAAAGTATTTCCTGGGCTGGTGCCATAGCTCAGTTGCTAAAGTTCTCGCCACGTAAGTATGAGGTCCTGAAATTGAATTTCTAGCATTCATGTAAAAAGCCAGACCCTAGGGAGACAGAGACAGGAGGATCTCTGATGCTTGCTTGGTCTAGCCAATCAGTGAGCTCCAGGTTCAGTGAATGACTCTTTCTCAACAATTAAAATGGGAGCTAAAAGAATGGCTCATCAGTTACAAGTGCTGGCTGGGGGCCAGAGAAGAAGGGTACCCACAGGAAGACCAACAGAGTCAACTAACCTGGACCCTTGGGGGCTTCCAGAGACAACCACCAACCAAAGAGCAAACGTGGGTGAACCGAGGCCCTTGCACACATATGTAGCAGATGTGCAGCTTGGTCTTCATGCGGGTTCCCCAACAACTGGAGCAATCTGAATCTGTTGCCTGCCTGTGGATCCTGTTCCCCGATCTGGGCTACTCTGTCTGGCCTCAGTGGGAGAGGATGTACCTAGTCCTGCAGTGACTTGATGTGCCAGGGTGGGGTGATACTGGGTAGCTCCCCCTTCTCAAAGAAGAAGGGGAGGGGTTGGGGAGGAGCTGTGAGAGAGGACTAGGAGAAGAAGGGGGCTGATATTGGGATATAAAATGAATAAAGAAATTAATTAATGGGAAAAAAGAGCCCTGGCTATTCTTTCAGAGGACCCAGGCTCAATGGAGAATGCCCACATGGCAGCCTACAACCATAGATCCAGTGCCAGAGAGATCCATCACTCTCTTCTGGCTCCTGTTGGCGTGCCACAAGCACATCATCTATCTGCAGGAAAACTACATACATAAAGCAAAAAGAAATAAATCTCTTTTTTCATTAGTAGAATCCAGAGTGGTGGTGCACATCCTTAATCCAAGCATGTGGGAGGCAGAGATAGGTGAATCTCTGAGTTTGAGGCCAGCCTGGTCTACATAGTGAGTTCCAGGATAGCCAAAGCTATAAAAAAAGATCTTACCTAAAAAAAGGAGAGGGGACACTCATTGTCAACCTCTGCCGCCTGCACATGGGTCAACTCAAACATACTCAAGGGCCACTTCTCCCTGGAGCTTCCATTTGACTGGGATGGAAGGCAACAATAACTGGGTAATCAACATAATAAACATATGTGAAGAAGGTGGACATGCCAGGTGTTGATGCAGCTGGAAAGAAGAAAGGAAACTGAGAAGACAAGGAAGGAGAGGGAAAGAGAGGAATCCATTGCTGAATGGGACTCTCTTTACCTTTTTGTTCCAACACAGGCTTCATCCAACCAGGGAGAGATCTGTGAGTGTGTTTCAGAATCATGTGCAGGGCTGGTGAGATGGCTCAGCCAGTAAGAGTGCTTGCCGCCAAGTCTGATGACCTGAGTTCAATTCCATGAAACCCACATGGTGGAAGGAGAGAGTTAACTAACTCCTTAAAGTTTCCCTCAGGCCATAATGCACACCCATGCAATAGTAAATAATTTAAATAATAATTAATGATCACCTGAAGGGGCAGCTGAAGAAGACATAGCCCTTCCCCTTTCTCCTCTAAGGGGCTGGAATGATGGCTTCAAGCAAAAGATGAAGCAATGGCTTGAAACAAAAGAGAGGTTTGCTCTCACAGCTGTGTGTGTGTGTGTGTGTGTGTGTGTGTGTGTGTGTGTGTGTGTTAAGTCTCTACTGGGACTCCAACCTAGAGCCCTGTGCACTCTAGGCAAGCACTCTGCACTGAGATATATTCCCAGCCCCGTAGTTTTGGGATTTTTTATATTGTCTGTTGCTGAGATGGACTCTCACTATGTCACCTAAGATGGCCTGAACTAGTGATCTTACTGCCCTTGACTCCTGAGCAGCTAGGATTATAAGCACATACTGTTATGCCCCATCTCTCAGCTAGTGAGTCATTGGGGGAGGCGGGGTGCATGCCTCCCCTCCAGCAGCTCTGTACCTCTGTGCCCTTCCATGCCCTTCCAGGGCCTAGTGGCTTGTTGGTATTCCTTGGCTTGTGGTCACATAACTCCAATCTCTGCTCCTGCGATTACCTTGCCTTCTCCCCTGTGTCAAATCTCCCTTCTTTCATATT